TGGTAAGCCAGCTCGTGGGCTACACAAAATATTAGAAATGGGTTAGAACAATATGTAAGAGCTAGCCAATAAGAAGCTGGAACTAGCCGGGCCAGGAAGTGTTTAATAGAATACAGTTTCCGTGTAATTATTTCGGGCATAAACTAGCCATGTGGGCGGCCGGGTGCCGGGTACGCAGCCCTGCCGCTCATATTTCAACACAAACTTGTGCAACCACTCTGGAAAGCAGTGTGGAGGTTTCTCAGGAAATTCGGAATCAACCTACCCATGGACCCAGCAATACCACTATTAAAAATATACCCAAGAGAGGCCTTATCATACAACAAAGGTATATGCTCTCCTATGTTCATAGCAGCATTGTTTGTAATAGCCAGAACCTGGAAACAACCTAGATGTCCTTCAATTGAAGAATGGATGAAGAAAGTATGGAATATATACATATTAGAGTACTACTCAGCAGTAAAAAACAAGGACTTCTTGAAGTTTGCAGGCAATAGAAAACACTATCCTGAGTGAGGTAAGCCAGACCCAAAAAGAGGAACATGGGATGTACTCACTCTTATTTGGTTTCTAGCCATAAATAAAGGATATTGAGCCTATAATTCGGGTTCTTAGAGAAGCTAAATAAGAAGGAGAACCCCCCAAAAAGAACATTTAGGCATCCTCCTGAATATTAACCTTCATCAGGCGATGAAAGGAGACAGAGACAGAGACAGAGACCCACATTGGAGCACCGGACTAAAATCTCAAGGTCCAAATCAGGAGCACCAGGAGAGAGAGCACGAGCAAGGAACTCAGGACCGCGAGAGGTGCACCCACACACTGAGACAATGGGGATGTTCTATCGTGAACTCACCAAGGCCAGCTGGCTAGGATCTGAAAAAGCCTGGGTTAAAACTGGTCTCGCTGAACATAGCGGACAATGAGGACTGCTGAGACCTCAAGAACAATGGCACTGGGGTTTTTGATCCTACTGCACCTATTGGTTTTGTGGGAGCCTAGGCAGTTTGGATGCTCACCTTACTAGATCTGGATGGAGGTGGGTGGTTCTTGGACTTCCCACAGGGCAGAGAACCCTAATTGCTCTTTGGGCTGACGAGGGAGGGGGACTTGATTGGGGGAGGGAAAGGGAAAGGGGAGGCGGCGGTGGGGAAGAGACAGAAATCTTTAATAAATAAATAAATCTAAGTGCCACTACACCTGGTCCTTATAGTATGTATCTTAAGTAATTATTGCTAAATACCTGATGTGTTTGTTCAGAAAGTAATTCAGTAAGCACTATATGCAAATTTACAAACTCTGCCAATATTCTGGAGAGCCATTCTGCATCATGGCCTCTCCTAACTATGTGCATATTACATAGCAATTCCCATCTAACTATTCCCTACAATTTTCATGCTAACCTACTATGTGATAAGCCCAGAACTATGTCAAGAGCAATATCCCAAACCAATAGTCAAGTTTGGAAAGAAAAACCTCCAAACATCGCTTAGTGATTCTTATATTCAATATTTGCTCCCACTGTTAAGACTCAGAGGGTTTCTTTGGTGAAAATGCCATTCACCACACATTAAGAGAGTGAGTCTCTTACTCAGGGCTCAAGAGCATCTTCCTACAATTAGAGGGAAAGGAGTGGCTTAGAAGCTTCCCTAGAGCAGGAAAGAAGATGTAGAGATGGGACCCAGCCCATAACCTCAGTCTATCATAGCAACCTGGCCCACTCACAGAGAAAGGCATGCAACCAGGCTACGGCTGCTGAGTGAGACTGCCTCTAAAATGAAAAGAAACCCCCCAGACTTCAGAAACGGCTCAACCTGTACTAGTGCGAGAGCAGAAACTTCTAGGTAACAAATTCTGACAGGACAGAGTGTGCCAAAATCCATTTACTTCCTGACTTCAGCCCATGTTAGATACATGTTTAGGGCCCTGGTTATGTATCTCTACTCCTATTTGGAAGGTTTCCTGTGGGGAATTAAAATGTGGAGATCCTTCCCAAACATCCAGTAATGAGAGTGGTGATGGGCAGTGGAGAACTGGAGTCAGTTATATAAATGTACAGATACAAAATTTTGAAGGAAATACCTAAAAAATTTTCCTATAAAAGCATTCATAACCATAAGCAGATTAATTTTCTCTCTGACAGATGCCAGTGAAAGAAAATGACACCTTAGAAAAGGGTTAGTTAAAGGACTCTTACCCAGACCTTGATTCTGCTGTTCCCACTCCATGGTTTCTGGCACCTGATAGGTTGCTACCTCCAGTAGGGCCATGCTTCCTGCCTCTACATCTGGTTCCTGGGATGTGATTCCAGGGAGAGTAAACCCTGGCAGCTCGGTATCACTGTCGAAGTCCTTATACAAGGAGTCTGCTTCTTTATCTTCCTCATCTTCTTCCTCATCCTCCTCTTCATCTTCATCTTCTTCATCCTCCTCGTCCTCCTCATCTTCTAGTTCTGGACAGACAGGAATCAGAGGAAAACTTGAAGATATGCATGAACATGTATTCAAACACATTAGTCTTTTGATGTCGTACCATTACAAAATAATCATGTTTGCCCTTAAAACCAATTGTTAAAGTCAGCACTGGGCAGTCTGAGCTCTATGAGATTATGTGCCTTTTACATACTCTGAGTTTTAAACTTTCAGCACCACTGTTACATAAGATAATCACCATATTCATTAGGAATTAAAGCTTAGGAATTGTAGTTTTAGCTTTTTGTCATGTGACACAAGCTAGAATCATCAGGAAAGAAGGAACCGCATCTGAAATAATGCTTTGATAAGATCAACCTGTAGGGAGACTTGAGGACAATTTTTTGATTCATGACTGGTGTGGAAGAGACCAGCACAGTGTGAGTTGTACTTGGTCAAGTGATCTTGAGTTGTATAAACATCAGACTGGGAAAGCTATCAGGAGCAAGCCAGTAGGTAGCATTCTTCTATTTGGGGTCCTGTCTCCAGGTTTCTGCCTTAAAGTCCTGCTTTGATTTCCTTCATGGTAAAACATGAAATGGACTCAGTCTCTTCAAGTTGCCTTTGATCAGTAATAGAAGGCAAATTAAGACAGGGACGATGAATTTTTATAAACTAATATTTATTTCCAAGGCTAGGAAACATTTTTGTGTTTTCTGGAGGTCATAAAATGTTTATCTGTTAGATATTACACTGACATATCAAAGAACATAAAATAAATTATTTCCATCTTTGTCACATAATATTAATGAAGAAATTTTTTTATTTTGATATACTTTGTTGGGAGTTGTGCAGCCTGGTCTCAGATCAGCATATGACTACATGTCCAGTGGGTTTCCTTGGGGCAAGGCATCTGTGGAAAGAGACTCTCACTTGGCAGAGACATGAAACAGTGTAGGAATTTGGAAAATTCATGCAGCTTGCAGGTTCTTTTTTTTTTTCTTTCCTTATTTGGTGATTCATTGGGCAGTTTTTCATTTTACTTTGTTAGTCACACATGCAATAGCTATAATTTTTTTCTTGGAAATTCTGTTGGTGCTCAAATATTTTCCCTTAAGATTCAACAGGGGATAATGCTTCTCAAAGCTCTTGTATGGAATGACTGACTACAACTCCCAATCCTAGGACCTTTTCTGACTCAATGGACATAATTAGGCATGTATGAGAAACCAACCCATGGAACATTAACCACGTCTCACAGTTCTGGGAAGGAGAGTAAGGCAGCAGACACAGAGTAGGGAAACGCCTCAGCAATACAAGTCGTGCCAACTGTTGAGAGTAAGTTCCCGGGACACCAAGCATAGAATTGGTGGTAAGATCCGGTATGCTCCAAGAGGGAAAAAAAACACAATGCAAAATGTGGGGTGGATAGCTTCATCACTATCGTACACAGAGCTTATATTGGTGGAAGAAGTTTGGTATAGAGAGATGGGAAGAGAGTGCTTTGTTCAAAGTCTGCCTTTTACAGAGAGACTGAGACATGGGATCCTCTTGTAGAGAAAAGAGCTGTACGAAAGCGTATCTTTAGTCATGAAAGACTTGTTTGGGTTTAAATCTTGTTGTCTATAAAGCATTGTTCCCATGTCTACTACTTTTCAACTCTGCAACTGCAGGTCCCTGCCAGCTGACATAAGCGCTGTGAGAGCAGGATGTGTCTGGCTCGATATTTACTTAAGCCTGCAAAAATGCTGACCTCTATGTCTAGAATAAGGCTATGCAGAGGTTTGGAAGGTGCATTTGGGGACACATAAAAGGGGACAATAGGGACTTTCATAAACATCATATGTTCCTTAAATTGTGATGTATTTCTTAAAGTCAAACATAGAAGCTGATAACAAATCTGTTCATGTAACCCCGTTAAGAAAAACTCTAGGTCTAAATAAAGATGGCCTGAGTTATTCAGGGCCACTTGAGTGTACTCCACTTTGTGGTCAGAAGTTTCCTTGCACCAACACCCTTTCCCCACCTCAGGACCTGAACCCAAGTCGAGGTTGAACACCAGTAACACTTCTCCATCACTGAATAGAATTTAGCAATGCCACATGAGAGGCAGATGTACTTAGATTATAGTCTCCCTGTGTGAGAGAAACCCACAAATCTAGAAGTCATTGCACCAATATTCTCAGCCCAGTGCTAAAGTAATATATGGAATGGGATATTCATCAAGGATATCCATCACCCGTGAGAAGATATCACTATCATTGTTGAGTTAATTTTATATGTGGCAGCGTGTGCTTGTAACACAGCACTTGGGAGATAAAGGCAGGAATTTCAGAAGTTCAAGGTCATCCTACTCAGAGAATTAGAAGTTCCCGTGGGCTACATGAAATTCTTTTTTCTTAAGTAAGAAAGAAAGGGAGGGAGAGAGGAAGGGAGGGAGGGAGGAAGAAAAAGAACACTAAAACATTAGGCGGTGGTGTCAGATAACAATGCCAGATGGCTGAATAATGCGTGGTGACATTATGTGATATGTTCAAATTTAAAAAAAAGCAAAGTCTTGTTACACATGGCCAGAAGAGAGGGAAAACATGTCTAGACAGTACCCTCTCTTAGCCAGTTTCATTTGTCTGGACTCTCTATGGTAGAATGTCTTAGCAGCAGCTTTATAGCCTACACCAGTCCTTTGTTCTTCTGAGGGGATTAAGCCTCTGAGGAACTCAAAAGCCTTGCCAGTATTATCCCACAAATCCACATTGTTAGCTGAACAGGAAAGAAATTTACAGGCTTTTTACTTAGAGGCTACTCCCTTAATAACCACTTTGAGTGCTCAAATAATATCAGAGCAGAGCTTAAAATGAGGCTGTTTAAACCCAGAAGAATTGCCCATCTAGGTTAAAGCTTGTTTTTATTATTAATTACAAATACATCTTCAGTCTCTGGTCACCAAAACCAAGCTTTAATTTTGCTCAGTAAAGGCTGACCCAGGATCTCTAATATAGATACAGCAAGTATCTCCAGGCTGTCATTCACACATCACAGGAGGGAAGACCGCTTGCACGCGTGTCGTCCCAGCACGAGGACAGGCACCAGGGCAGGAGCATGTCTTATCTGTGTTACTCTGGACAGCTCCGCGCCTGCTCCCTTCTTAGAGCAGTATTTTTCACATGAATCCTCACCTTTGGCCTATTTGCTCATTAGTTCATGAGGCAGAGATCTCTTTTCAGCGACTTTCCTTCCTCGCTTTAGGCTGCAAACAGGATCTAAGGTAAAATGCACATGAAAGCAGATGAAGAAGGGAACTTCCTGAGCTGAGCTGTGTTAGTCTCTGTCAGGTCCCTCTGAATGGGGACAGCTTTCAAGTGAAGACATGATTTGTAGTATCTGGGAAGCCCATGCCAATAGATTTTCTAAAATCTAAAATTATCAGAACAGTGAAGATGGCTCAGTGGGTAAAAGCCATTGCCACACAAACCTGATGTTCAATCCCCAAAACCTATTATGGAAAGAGAGCACCGGCTCCCATGAGTTGTTCTCTGACTGCCCCAACACACACACACCATGGCATGTGCACACTCACATGCATCACATGTATGCACACGCACACACAAATAATCTTAATAAATTGAATAAGGTTTAAGTAAAAGCAATTCTCTAAAAAGGTTCCCATACATATAAATAAGTAAAGCCCTAGGAGTGGTGCTGATTTTGCATCCAGATCGCTCTTAAGTTGAGCATGAAACTGAGCTTAAAACTTAAAATTCAGACAAGGAAAACTTAAATTTGTTCTAAGGATGTGAAACAGTTCTCTAGCAGATGGCTCTCTAAGAAGATGTTGAGGAACCTCAGACATTCCCAACTACCACAAAATCCAGCAGCTCAAGGCACTAGCTCATTGAGAATTTGATGAATCTCCTAATATTTGTAAGAACTTAATTATATCCACATTTATATTTTTATTGTACATGGGATATATCAAATATTTGTGTATATGTATATTATGAAGCTTAATATAAAATTTCAACATGAATAGCATACATGTACACATACCGATATAAGTGTTACCAAGATTCCTAATGAAAACTCCCCAGAAAAATTCCCCAGAAAACTCACCATTGCACTAAGAATTAGAATGTAGTTACTATTCTTGCATGAGAGCTGAAGTGATGGTGGTGAGGTTAAAAGACCACAGTACTAGGGAAGATGCTTAAGTTCAGTCCCTAACACCATGCCTTTTAGTTCCCAACCACATTTACCTTCAGATCCAGAGGGATCCAGCCTTTTGAGTCAAGTCACCTATGCTCATATATAGATATGCATACACACACATACATATGCTAAAAACAAACCTTTATAATTATACATACTTACATAAACAAATAAAAATAAATATTTTTAAAAAGTTTTAGAACACTTTCATTCTGGTGATACTTTTCTGATTTTTGCTATTGCTGTCTACTGTTTGGCTCTTTTCTCTCCTCCTATGTTATAAAGCATAAATGGTAATATTTTCTATACATGTTCATTAATTTACTTACTTCCTACTTCATACTGAATCTCAGTCCTTCCTGCCAGGATTATAGTTTTTCCTCTGTCAGGAGTTGTGGAGGCCCAAAGAGGCAAAGGTCAGAGAGTTTGGGACTTGTTTCTAGTTCATTCAAGGTTATTGTACTTCTACCTCAAATAAAGGTCCCACCTAGTTGTAAATCAATTCAGCTCTCTCAAGGCTATTGTCCACAGCTGTGGCTAGTGGCCAGACCTTGTGCTCCTGAAATGGGGAAGTATTTGGTTCCTACCTAAAACAAAAGTCTAAGGATCCAACTAAGATCCAGTTTCCTTTCTGGAAATAACTTGGGATTCCACCTGTGGAGTGGTTTGCCTAGAGAGTGTTTGGTCTAGGGTGTGAGACTAGGGCGTGAGCTATGAATGTAGCAGGAGACTTTCAATCTGGATGTTAATGCAGTCTTTTGTTTTACTCCTACCTTTTGGGGTCAGGGGTATATTAACCAGTTGAACACAGGTGAATTTTCAGTACTCACTGAAA